GGCAAAAAAAAAAAAAAAAAAGTTACCAATATGACCGTATGTCTGTATCAAGCATTGTATATTTTCCTTTGTGATTCTAGATATCTAATTGATGAAGTAATATTGGGTGTATATTGAAGTCACATTGTTCCATCTTGAGGTAAAATATGATGGAAACACGGTACTTTTGTCTTATTTTTGAATAGTAAAATTAATTAATTTGGAGTGGAAAAAAGTTGGAAAGTTAACTTATTCGTAGTTTTAATCTTGCTATAAAGGAAAATCAGATCATTAACGATACTAAAGAAGAATTAAAGTGAGAGCACACTTACTCAGTGTTCAAAAAACTAAAGTTTGTTTTCTCAGACTCAGCTAATCTGTACTGTCTCTTGTAAAAAGGGTTGACCAAATGAAAGATTTAAAGGCTGCTCTTTCATGATAAGGAATTAACAATGGAAGCAGTAAATACCTCTTTTAAGTTTATTTCTTGCTTGCACTCTATCTCAGTTTTTACCTACTCAGGCTAATTTGCAGGTGCCTGGGATGAGTAGACAATCCATAATTTCTACCAATCAAGTAAAAGACGGAAAGAAAACTCTGAGCTTCTCTCCCAGTTAACAGGTAGTTTGCTGTGGTTAAAATTAATGCAGATTTTACAGCAACAAATATTAGCGTTTATATTTATTATAATTAATTGATTTGAAATTTGAGAAATGAATAATTGAGTGCATCATTTGGGTGTTTATTTGGCCAATTATTTATTAGCCCAAGAGACCATCCTTTAATATTTTCTCTACATAAATATTATGCCAAATCAATTTGTTTCTCTCTCATTATAACATGTTTTAAGGATTGGACATGTGGTTACTTTTACTTAAAAATATATTTTATTCTTTGCAGTGTTTGAGCAACACACCTCCACTTACAGAGTATTTCCTCAATGATAAATACCAAGAAGAACTGAATTTTGACAATCCCTTAGGAATGAGAGGTGAAATAGCTAAATCATATGCTGAACTGATCAAGCAAATGTGGTCTGGAAAATTTAGCTATGTCACACCAAGAGCCTTTAAGGTTAGTATGTATATATGCATTCTCAACGGGAACAACATCACCCCCAAGGGGACAAAAATTGGTTCTTGGGATTGGAGTGAGGAAAATCTGAGCTATTGTAATGGTTTGTGACCATCCAGAGAGACAGAGTACAGAAACAGATAATGCAGTATATCTATTGTATTGAAATGTAGTAGGAAAATGGATGAGTAATTTAGGGGAAAAGAAAATGTCTAAAAAGTCTCATGGGTCAGGGGACAATAGTGAAAAAGATGTGAGAAACATTGGTATGATACAGGAATGATTATAAAGAAACAATAATGAGCATTTACATGATGGTTTAGAATGCAGCATATCTCTGAAAAACCTACCTACTTTTACATATGCACAAAGGATGAAATTTGAGCATATTGTTTAACTTTGTATTTATTTTGAAAGTTATAAGTTTGAGAAATTCTTGAAATGAAACTAATCTGCAAAATAAGTGCTAGATAATTTTATTTTCAGTATAGTTCTTAAAGCTTTGAAGTTTATTCTTATTTGTGAATTGGTTACATGGAATCAGTAAAATCTCAAGTAATTTGAATTTGTCCTTCAAATAAGAATTGAACTGATACTTGTAATTACCTTAAAAAAAGTTTAGAAAATCATATAGATTAAATTGATGAGAAATTTTAAACTTTTAATGATGATAAGCAGTTTTAAGGAATTATTTATACAAATAACTTGAATAACATTCATGTAGGACATATTCTAGGCAACATTCTGTTAACTGTATTCTAGCTTTTAAAAAATAAAAAATCAACAGATAAAAGCCCCTGCATTTATGTTCTTTAACTTTTTATACTTTGGACAAACCAGTCCAGACAAACCACCACTCAATCTTTAGCCATCATTCCAATTACTACAATTTGTTAGACTTTCTTCTTTTAAAATTATGGATAAATAGCCTCTTGACATCAGACGTTTTTCCTTTCAACTCTGTTTCAAATGATTACATTTCTTTTCAGTCTTATCTTTTAAATACTTAGTACTGTAAAGACTGTGTTGTCCGGTGCCTTTGAGTAGGTTCTATCTCATAGTGACCCTGTACAAGAGAATGAAACACTTCACAGTCCTGCACCATCTTCACAGTCCTTGCTATGTTTGAGCCTTTTGCCACAGTCACTGTGTCAGTCTGTCTAATTGAGGGTGTTCCTAAACTGATCTTTCCTGGTAACATCCAAGTATGGAAGACAAAGTCTCACCATCTTAGCTTTTAAGGAACATCCTGGATGTATTTCTTTAAAGACAGATTTTATTCATTCTTCTGGCAGTCCGTAGTATATTCAATATTTTTCACCAACACTGTAATTCAAAGGCATCAATTTTTCTTCAGTCTTCTTATTCATTGTCCAGTTTTCATATGCAGGTGAGGCAGCTGAAAATATGGTTTGAATAAGGTGCATCTTAATTCTCAGAGTGACATCTCTGCTTTTGAACACTTTAAAGAGGTTTTGAATAGCTTTTAAAGCACAAATTTGTCCAATGCAGTATGTCGTTTGATTTCTTGACTGCTGCTTCCATGGACATTTATTGTGGATCTGAGTAAAATGAAATCTTTGGTAACTTCAGTCTTTTCTCTATTTATCATGATGTTGCTTATTGGTCCAATTCTGAGGATTTTTGCTTTATGTAGAGATAATCCATACAGAAGGCTGTATAGTCTTTGATCTTCATCAGTCAGTGTTTCAAGTTTTCACTTCAGCAAGCAAGGTTGTGTCCTCTGCATATTGTAGTTTGTTAATGATTCTTCTTCATTCCTGATGGTAAATTGTTCTTCATATAGTCTGACCTCTCAGATTATTTGTTTAGCATACATATTGAATAAGTATGGTGAAAGGACACAACCCTGATGCACACCTTTCCTGATTTTAAGCCTTGTAGTATGTCCTTGTTCTGTTTGAATAGCTGCCTCTTGGTCTATATACAGGTTCTACATAAGCACAATTAAGTGTCCTGAAATTACCACTTACCCAAAATTTGTTATGATCCACACAATCAAAAGTCTTTGAAAAGTTAATAAAACGTAGGTTACCCTCTTTCTGGTATTCTCTACTTTCAGCCAGCATCCATTTGACATCAGCAGTATCCCTCATTCCACATCCTTTTCTAAATCTGATTTGAATTTTTGCCAGTTCCTTGTCTACATACTGCTACAACCATTTTTTAGTTATTTTCAGCAAAACTTCACTTGTGTGTGATATTATTCAATAATCTCTGCATTCTGTTGGATTGCTTTTCTTTGGAATGGCCACAAATACAGATCTCTTCTAGTCAGTTGTCTTCCTAATTTCTTGGAATGGACGAGTGAGTGCTTCCATGGTATATTCAATATTCTTGGCCAACACCATAATTCAGTTGGTATTCCATCAATTCCTGAAGGCTTGGTTTCAGCAGTTCCTTCAGTGCAGTTTGGACTTCTTCCTCTAGTTCTTGGTCATGTTACCTTCTGAAATGGTTGGACATCGACCAGTTCTTTCTGGTACAGTGACCCTGTGGATTCCTTCTGTCTTCTTTTGATGCTTCTTGCATCGTTTAGTATTTTGCCCATAGAATCCTTCAGTGTTAGAACTTGAGACTCTATTTTTTTCTTAAGTCCTTTTAGCTTGAAAAACGACAAACATGTTCTTCTCTTGGTTTTCTAACTCCATGTATTTGTACATTTCATTGCAATACTGTGTTTTGTCTTCTTGAGCCACCTTTTGAAATCTTCTGTTCAACTCTCTTACTTCAACATTTCTTCTATTTCCTTTAGCTACTGTATATTCAAGAATAAGTTTCAGAGTCTCTTCTGACATCTATTTTGATCTTTTCTTTCTTTCTTGGCATTTTAATGACCTTTTGCTTTCTTCATGTGTGACGTCCTTTATGTTATCCTACAACTCGTCTGGTCTTGGGTCATTAGTGTTAAATGTCAAATCTGTTCTTGAGTTGTTCTCTAAATTCAGGTGGGATATATTCAAGGTCATACTTAGGCTGTTATGGGTGTGTTTTAATTTTCTTCAACTTCAACTTGAACTTGCATGTGAGCAATTAATGGTCTGTTCTGTAATCAATGGTCTATTTCAAAGTCAATGCGTGGCCTTGTTCTGACTGATGATAATGAGCTCCTCCATCATCTCTTCCCACAGATATATTTGATCTGATTCCTGTGTATTCTATCTGGCAAGGTTGACACATATAGTCACCATTTATGGTAGTGCAAAGCATATTTGCAGTGAATAAGTCATTGGCCTTGCAAAATTTACCGTGCAATTCCTGGTATCATGTATATGGGCAAGGCCGTATTTTCCAACTACTTTTACTTCTTCTTGTCTCCAACTTTAGCTTTACAATCACTAGTAATTATCAGTGTATCTTGATCGCATGCTTGATCAACTTCAGACTATAGATATTTGTAAAAATCTTCAACTTCATTTTGGCATTAGTAGTTGGTGCATATATTTTGAATAACAGTCATATTAACTAGGTGTCTTTGTAGGCATATACAATGACAGCATTGTAGCTCAGGATTGAAATGTTCTTGTTGACAATGAATGTAATGCTGTTCCTTTTCACTTTGTCCTTCCCAGCATAGTAGATCATATGATTGTCCAATTAAAAATAGCCATTATCAGTCTATTTCAGCTCATTAATGCCTAGGGTATCAATCTTTATGTGTTCCATTTCATTTTTGATGGCTTCTAGTTTTCCTAGATTCATATTTCATACATTCCACATTCTGATTATTAATGAATGTTTGCAACTGTTTCTTCTCATTTTGAGTCTTGCCACATCAGCAGTTGAAGGTTCTGAAAGCTTTTCTCCATCTATGCCATTAAGGTTGCTCTGCTTTGAGGAGGCAGCTCTACCCTAGGCTTATTTTGGGTGCCTTCCAATGTGAGGGGCTCACCTTTACATTGGGCAATGTTCTGCTTCTATTTATTAGGTTTTCGCTGGCCAGTATTTTTACTTGTAGCTTACCAGGTCCGTCTCCCTATCATGTCTTAGTCTGGAAGCTCTGCTGAAACCTGTCCCACGTGTCTGACCCGGCTGGTATTTGAAATACCAGTGACATAGCTTCCAGCATTACAGCAACATACAAGCCACCACAATGCAACAAACTGACAGAAGAGTGGTGGACTGTAAAGGCTAGAAAAATAATATATGAACATGAATCTTCAAGTAATCTTTTTCATTCTCTTTTTCATAAACCGAAACTAAAGTGAGCACCTTATAATTTTTTTAAACTAGTGACCCAAAGGAAAATGTTACTTAAATTTAATAATCCTCACTGTTTGCCAGTCCTTTGTACAAAGCTTTACCATACATACAACTTTCCTGATTCACCTTTTTTTCACAATGTATTTTATAGAGTAGTTACATTAAAAATATTTTTAGATAAGTACATATCTACATGTAGTGCCTAAGACATTTGACTGCTAACCAGAAGGCTGGCAGTGGAAACCCAAGGAGGGGTCACCATGAGTCAGATCCGACTTGATGGCAGTGAGTTTGGTTTTGGTTTGGTAATAATGAAACTTAGTTGAGAACCTCTTAATATCTTGCATAGAAAACCTAGAGCTAAAAATAAGATCAGGAAGGTTCTTGGACACATAGTGAAACAGCAAGTAATGACAAGGAAGTCTAAGACCAAACAATGAATAATGTGATTTTTTTTGTTTTTTGTTTTTCCACGGATTCCCCATTAGTCTGTTTTCTCTCAGATAGACTTCATAGTCTTTCTCTTAGATAGACTTCATCGAGTACTTATCGGGAATGCGAAATAAAGTATAACTGTATAACTCATATATGTTCCCTTTGAGAGTGTTTGTGTGTGTGTGTGTGTGTGTGTTTAATCCTTATAGTTTTGCCTTTCCTGTAGACACAGGTAGGACGCTTTGCACCTCAATTCTCTGGATATCAGCAGCAGGACTGTCAAGAACTATTAGCTTTCCTTTTAGATGGACTACATGAGGATTTGAATAGAATTAGAAAAAAACCATACATACAATTGAAAGATGCTGATGGAAGGCCAGATAAGGTAAATTTCTTGATATTTCTGTCACTATTGTTAAATTCTGTGTTACCTCTTTGTAATATGTGTCTGTTTTGCTTATAGGTGGTTGCTGAAGAAGCTTGGGAAAATCATTTAAAAAGAAATGACTCTATTATAGTAGATATATTTCACGGCCTTTTCAAATCAACTTTAGTTTGTCCTGAGTGTGCTAAGATTTCAGTAACATTTGATCCTTTTTGTTATCTGACACTTCCATTGCCCATGAAAAAAGAACGTACCCTGGAAGTTTACTTAGTTAGAATGGATCCACTTACCAAACCTATGCAGGTAAGTAAGATAATTATTGCTTTCCTTGTATTTGTAGTTTGTATTTTAAAAATTGCTGTTAATTTTTTATGCTTCAAGCATAGTTAAATAGTCAGTTTTTTGTATAAGAGATTTTGTAAGGTAAATAATTGGGAAATAGTACAGCTTTTAGAATCTTGAAAAGGTGAAGAATGTGGGAAGTATCATTACTTGTCACAGAAGAAGAAAATTCTTATTGGAGAAAAATAAAGAAATGAAGGGTGGTTTGATTTTACAATGTTGGGATGAATGTTAGCTTAAAAAGATTAATAATACATTATTTTCTAACTTGGATATTTTTTATGTTGATTTTTTTGTAGTGGCTGTTGGATGTAAAATTATAATGAATACATTCATAATGTGATAAGATAATAGTATATTTAAATGCTTGTAATTTTTAGGCCAGGAGAATCTTTACAGTCTGTTTCTGTAAAGATTTACAGCCTTGGAAACCCTATAGTACCCTTCTGCTCTGTCCTGTAGGGTGACTATAAGTCAAAATTGACTTGATGGCATTGGTTTTGGTGTTTTGGATTAACTTAAGAAATTTTAAGAACGTAGAAGAAGAATTTTGGATTTTAAAGTGATAGCATTCACATTTGGATTCCAGAGACCTAAGAATAGGCTCTGTTTGCCAAGATTGGCAGGGACATACAAGAGCTGACAACAGGAAAGGAGACAGGTGGTGAGTGTATAAGTTCTGCCAACTAGTGAATAGAGGAGCACAGCACAGTACCCTGCTTGCGTAGATAACATACAGACAAAACAAAGAAAACTAAAATTGTGGGCAAGTCACTCCAACATACAATCACCAATTGAATATAAACACAAAAACGTCACTATGCCTCGGAGACAACAGAGCATCACAGTCCACACAAAGAAGCAAGGTAAAGCAGGAGAAACAAGGAACCAGGATACAGACACAAAACACATCCCTCAGAAAGATGCAGCATTTGAACTCCCTGATAAGGAATTCAAAAGAATTAATTTTTTGTTGTTAGATGCGGTGAAGTCGTTTCCAACTCATAGCGACCCCGTGCACAGCAGAATGAAACACTGCCTGATCCCACGCCAGCTCCACGATCCTTGCTATACTTAAGCCCATTGTCGCAGCCACTGTGTCAGTCCATCTTGTTGAAGGCCTTCTCCTCCTTCATCGACCCTCTCCACCTTACCAAGCATGATATCCTTCTCCAGAGAATGGTCCCCTCTGACAACATGACCAAAATAGGTGAGATGAAGTCTGGCCATCCTCGCTTCCAAGGAGCATCTCGGCTGCACTTCCTCCAGGACAGATCTGTTAGTTCTTTTGGCATTACATGGTACCTTCAGCATTGCTCACCAGTACCACAACTCAAAAGCATCAATTCTTCTTTGGTCTTCCTTATTCATTGTCCAGCTCTCACATGCATAGGAGGCGATTGGAAATATCATGGCTTGTGTCAGGCACACATTAGTCCTCAAGAAGACCTACCTGATCCTCAGCACTTGAAAGAGTTCTTTGCAGCCGACCGTCCCAGTGCTACAAGTCATCTAATGTCCTGACTGCTGCTTCCATTGGCCTCGATTGTAGAACCAAGCAACGTGAATTCTTTGACAACCTCAATCTTTTCTCTATTTATCGTGATGCTGCTTATTGGTCCAGTTGTGAGGATTTTTGTCTTATATTGAGATGTAATCCATACTGCAGACTGTGTTCCTTAAACTTCATCAGTAAGTGCCTCAAGTCATCCTCACTTTCAGCAAGCAAGTTGTATTATCAGCATATCTCAGGTTGTTAATGATTCTTCCTCCAATCCTGATGCCACATTTTACTTCATATATTACAGCATCTCAGATTATTTGCTCAGCATATAGTTTTAATAAGTATGGGGAAAGGATACAACCCTGTCGCACTCCTTTCCTGATTTTAAACCATGCAGTGTCCCCTTGTTCCGTTCGAACAGAATTATATTTTGAACCTAAATTATATTTAGGTATCTTCAAAGACAAAAACCTAGAACAATTTCAGAAGAAAATACAAGAACAAAATGACAAAATAAATGAAAACTTGGAAATGATACAGAATCTACAGATAGAAATCCAGAAGATTAATACTAAATTGTCAAAATAGATAACACATTGAAAGGGCAAAAGAGTAGAATTGATGCAATAGAAGAAAGAATTAATGAGATTGGAGACAAATATCTGCATACTTCCTTGAAAAGGAAAAAAGATCAATCAGAAAAAAGATCAAAACAAACTGAAGAAAGCCTAAGGTTCATGTGGGATACCATTAAAAGGAATAACCTACGTGTCACTGGAATTCCAGAACAG